CACAACAACTATAGTAACTGATCTGTTGTGGTGATTCTACAGTTGCTATGGTAACACAACAACTATAGCAACTGATCTGTTGTGGTGATTCTACAGTTGCTATGGTAACACAACAACTATAGTAACTGATCTGCTGTGGTGATTCTACAGTTGCTATGGTAACACAACAACTATAGTAACTGATCTGTTGTGGTGATTCTACAGTTGCTATGGTAACACAACAACTATAGTAATATAAACAAATGTGCCAATACTGTAGTTTTCACACACACACACACACACACACGCACGCACGCACGCGCACACACACTAAACCACACATATGCATACACACACACACACACACACACACACACTCACCAGCTCATAAGAGTGCGCGTCTGCAGCAGAGAGTCAGACAGAAGGAACACACTCAGGTCAGTCTCTTTCCTTTACTCCTGCTGCTGCTGCTCACTCTTTACATTAGTGGATTAGCGTATACATTTACACTATTAGCGTATATATTTACATAAACATGCATAAAAACCAATCATTACAGCTGAATAACTGGCACATCACTAACACACACACTCCAAACACACACTCCTGTGTACAGCAGAGGGAAACACTGCAGTCATTCAGCTCCTGCTGTAATATACTGTATTTCAACATTCCTCAAACATAATCCAGTTCAACTCTACAATCCGACTCTCCCACATGATGCTGAACTGATTCAGGGAATGTTCACAGTGTGTCTGATAATGTTTGATCTTCTGGAGAAAGTCTGATGTGTTTTATTTCTGCTAGAATTAAAGCAGAATATCTAGTCTAATATTATTGACTGTCATCATGAAGAGGAAACACATCAGCTATTAGAGATGAGTTATTAACACTGTTATGATGAGAGATGTGCTGGAGAAATCTGCTCTCTGATACACAGAAACTGGGAGAAAAATAAAAGAATGAGCCTTTAACAGGAGGGTGAATAACTCTGACTCTTCATCTTTAATTCTGCAGTTGTGTTATATATACAGTATATATGCGCAGAGACGTGTACAGCTGCTGAACACCACTCATCTGCAGGAATATGATCTGACTGGGCTTTTCCATCGAGAGCCTGCAGAAAACACTGAGTGTCTTTTTCCACTGTGGTTTAGAGTCTGCACACACACACACACACACACACACACACACACACACACACACACACACACACACACACACACACACACACACACACACGTACACACACACACACACACACACACACACACACACACACACACACACACACACACTTGCACACACACACACACACACACACACACACACAC